TTTGCTTTGTAGAGTAAATATTTACCCCCCCCTTTCCCCTGTGTAGTAAACCTGTGTAATCCTGAAGGGTGACGTGTGTGACACACTTAATGCATACTTCTTAAATGCTAAATACTGTTTTTATATGAAGACTGGTGAGGACCCCTACATTTCTCTTTATGATAATTGCCATTCACCTCCAGCTTATTCCCAGTAATTCCCCAAGAACTGAGAAATGCCCCTAATACGTGTCTGCATGGGAGGGAATTTTTGTGCTTGGGTGATATGTGGTTACAGGGGACAAGAATTACGTGATTAAACTTGCAGCTAAGTTGCTGATAACACCGATTCCTGTCCATCCATGTCTTCCCTGTTAGACCAAGGGGGACTGAGGGATTTCTACCCTTGAATTATTCAAGGCTGTCAAAGCTCTGAATTTAGTCTACTGAAATAAAGGAAAAACACCCTGGAAAACTAAAAGCCCGTGGAAGGAGACTCTGTGCCCTTGTGAGATGCCCTGGGAGAAGCTTTCCTCATCTGCCCCAGACGTGGCTGCCGCCCTTCGTCCTGACACCCCCGAGGACTTCAGGCTGCTCTCCCGCCGTTTGCCCGGTGAGTAATTTAAACTTTTCTTACGTTTTCTCTGGTTTTGGTTTGCCCAACAGTTGTCTGACTTCGTTAAATGCTTGTTTTGTGCTGCGTCCTGCTGGTGCTGTAAATAATAACAGCTGGTTATTGAGGGAAATAAAGAGAGATTGTTTGGTAGGAAGGCGTGGGGTGGCTGCAGAGCTGGGAACGCCTGGGCTGAGCCCCGGTTTTCCCAGCAGCAAAAGGCTGCGGTCGGGAGAAGGGGTTGGTTTTAGCCTGGCTGGAGAGGCTGGCTGAGATTACTAGAGAGGCTGAAGGACCTCTGCAAAACCTCACGGCGATGGTTATCTCTTCTCCTCCCTTTCTGCTTTAAACCTCTGGCATCTGCTTACCTTGTTGATGGCCACGAAATGGGGAATTCCTGCAGCCGAGCAGGAGGGGACCGAGAGCCGCAGCACCGGGAAGCGGTGGAGCAAGCAAAGCCCGAGGGCACTGCCCCGGCTCCTCCATCACCTCTGCACGCTCGGGACG